GACCAATTGAATTGCAATAAAAATAAGCATTGGTAATAGGTTTGCTTAGATCAATAAATTTCTTTGAATTTATTCTATTACTCTTAGCCTTGTAACATATCCCTTTCCTATTAATAGCTCTACCTTGTGACCTTAAAACAGCTTCTAAATTATCTCTACCAAGAGTAAACTTAGACAGCGTGCTAGTCAAGTATTCTATTTTTTTATATGAGCATTGCAGTTTTGACATTCTTTCTCTACAATTGGAATTTTAATTTTAACACTATTAGCAGATTGCAAAGCAGTTTCAAGTTCATTTTTCAGCTTCTCATTTTCATCAATAAGGTTGTTAATTCGATATTCAAAGTCTCTTCTTTCAGAGTTTAATCGATTTACCTTGTATTGTAGTTTCATAGCTTCTGCATGTAGTTCTTGATATGTTTCCAGTAGCATGTAATACTTGACTTCAATTGGCTCATTCTCGAAATCACTATCACTGTCTTCAAAACACACAGAACCCGCCATGAAACACAAGTTTGACTCCTCCTCTACACTCTAATCATCATCACTGGATGAATCAGTGTTAACTAATTGGCAAGTGAACCAAATCGTATCAAGTAATATAAAATGGTAAGACCAAGTATTGTTTCCCAAGAGACTCGTGACACCAAACAATTGTATAATAAATTAACTAGTTAAGACTAAAGAACGATTCCATTGAATGAAATTTAATGCAATAAAAGTAAACATAATAACTTGAATGTAAAATTGATCTTTTGAAGCTAAAACAAGAATGAATGAATGGTATTGAGATGAGCAACCAATTTAATGGATTGTCTCATGAAAATCCATATGAGCACCTGAAACCTTTCAATGAGATTTGCAACACTATAAAGATCAATGGAGTGTCGGATGATGCTATAAAGCTTAGTTTGTTTCCTTTCTCATTGGGCGGCAATGCTAAGTTATGGTTGAATTCTTTTCCGGAAGATAGCTTTACCAAATGGGAAGATGTGGTTGCAAAGTTCTTGAACAAATACTTCCCACAATCTAAAATCAACAAAGGTAAACAGGAAATTTCTTCTTTCAGGAAGGGCATGGAGGAGACGTTAGGACAAGAGTGGGATAGATATAAAAGCTTGTTGAGAAAGACGCCCACACATGGATTTGATGAAGCCACAGTAATCATTCTTTTCCTTGGAGGTCTTGGTTCACAAACCAAATTGATGTTAGATGCCTCAGCTGGAGGTAATATCATGTGCAAGACTTCAGAGGAAGCCTATGAATTGATTGACAACATGGCTACTAATGATAATGAGATGCATAATGAAAGAAGAGCTCCATATCAGTAGAAGGGAGTCCTACAGTTACAATCTCATGATGTTTTGCTTGCCAGAATAAAATTATCACTCCACAATTGGAGAATTTGACAAAGAAACTCTTTCAAATGCATAATGTTTCATAGGTTCAATAGAAACTCTGTGAACTATGTGGTGGTGATCATATCAATGGTCAATGTGTTTTTCCAGTAGAGACCCAAGAAGACGTCAACTATATGACCAACTAGATAAGAAGTTGGAGGATAAAGTTGAGAAGCAATTGGGGCTAATACTGAGGTTAACCCTAAGGAAGAATGTAAAGCTATTGTGAGCATAAGTGATGAGAGAGTAGAGGAGAGAAAAGAAAGAGTTGAGTTGAAAGAAGAAAAAGAAGAGAGAATAGGTGAGGTTGAGAGAAAAAAGAAAGAAAAGAAGAGGGGAGAGAAAAGATTTGAGAAAATTGAAAAGATTCTTCCTTACCCTAAGGAGTGTGAAAAAATTGATAAAGAGAAGCAATATGAGCGTTTTAAGGAGTTCTTCAAGCAATTGGAGATTACTATGCCCTTGACCTAAGCACTACAGCAAATTGTTGCTTATGCGAAGCACATGAAAGGAGGCCTATCTAACTGTTCAAAAGTGCATGGCTCCTCTCCGGGATAATTCTATGATTTACAAGCAAAAAAAGAGATGGGAAGACCCTTGAATAATAAAGAGAAAAAAGGATCTAAAAAGGTCAGGGATCCCCCCGGTTAGAGTAGAGTAGATTGGAATTACACTTGTATGGTTTTGTTGGCGATAATGATTATTTATTAGACTCGAGAAGCTTTCTTGCTGTCTCTTCTGCCAATGCCATCGTGGGACTTAGCTGTAGCTCTGGTGGGGGTTTTACCTTCTGAAGATGCTGTTTGCGGAGAACTGCTGCTCTTCATGTTCAGACTTCAACTTTACGCTGAGGATTCTGAAGCTTCTAGCGAGAAGTGATTCGGTGTAACCCCAGGAAGGACTACTTCTCTTAGCCCCTGTCCTTTTCTTTACGGGTGTGCTCACAGCATCATAAGAATTTGACTTGGTCGTTGCCTATGCGGCTCATTGTCTTCTTCGGACTTCAATCAGGTGAATAGCTGCTGTTCCAGGGAGCTAATGCCGGACAAAGGACTTCCTTCTTTATAACGAATACGGAGAAGAGGCCTTAGGCTGTTGAAGTCCCATAGCCAGCGCCCATCCGGAAGGCACAACTTCTTTCTATGTCCCCTCAATCCGGTCCAAGCATCTCTAGCTCATTCATTCTCTTTAGGAAGGCTTCCGGCTTCCCCCCCGCCCAGGGACTACTCTTAGATTGCTTTCAGCTTCGGAAGAATTTGCTGTTTTGTGAACAGAAGTAGCATCTCTTAGGCGGCTTAGCTTTCTTTTCTTCATTCTTCCTCCCAGGGCAGGGAATGAACTTAAAGGGAGGAAAATAGAAGCCTACTTTCATTCATGAAATAAAGAAGGAAAAAGGGCTCATAGAGGTGGTGGCTCTACTACTCTACTTAGGTAGAACAGAAGAAAAAAGAAATACAAATCTAAAGACAAAGAGGTGGTTATAGAATGATTTATACTGAAACTCGTCGCCAGACTGGTTGATAAAGAAGAGGGCGACGAATAAGGTCGAAACGGCTAGCCAAGCAAGGTTATTTTCATTCCCGCAGTTGGCTAACCAGGGAATGAAATATTTCAGTAAGCCTGCTGTCCTTGCTTTCAGCAATCCTCAAGAATAGCTCCTTCTTCTTTCGCTCCAGCTCTAGTTCCCGACTTGCTTCCGCTAGTTGACAATCAGCTGCGGTATCTTCTCTTTAAGATTCCCGATATAAACCGGGAGCCGATCCAGGCTCGTAGTGCCTCCACGTCCTCAGGCAATGCACCATGGCTGTTATCTCTTTCTCTGGGACTGGGACCGCGCCTTTCTGTCTCGTCTCGTTGAGCTTCCGGCTCTCATATGCTAACTGGGTTCCCTCCTGGACCAATACTCTTCCAATGGCATAGTCTGATGCTTCAGTGTGCACTTCGAAAGGTACAATATAGTCTGGCAACCTCAATACAGGTTCCTCCATCACGACCCTCTTCAAGTCCGCAAGCTCGCTGACACTTGCCCTATCCCCTTAAAACAATGCTAAGGCTTTCTAAAAATATCAGTGAGTGGACTTCCTAGATATCCAGTGATGAACCGACGATTCAAGGCAAACTGATCGAGCTCGGTCACGGGGACTCCCCACTCCTTCCTATTGCCTTCACCTTCTGCTTGTTCCATCCCTATCCTCCCATGGCCCTAGGATAGGAACAAGACTTCTCCCCCGGGAGTCCACTTCTTTCCTGTGGCACCTTTGCTTCCTAAGCCCCAGATTCCCGTCTGAAGAAAGCGTAATCCCCACTTTGTGAGTCACAGTCAGTGGTCATCCACTCATATTTCTTTTTAGAAAACAAATAGATTCTAGCGACCCCGATAGATAAAGGCAATCATCTCTGACCTCTACTTTAACTTTAACAACCGGGCTTTGTTGATGTGAATTGCTTCCTTCTCAATTGCACGCGATATTATCTGATCAGAGTAAGCGGCTACAGGGGGCTAGCTTTCCTCACGAGTAACGTTTTGGATACTTTTAGTTGACAGGGTTTGATCCCTTAAAAGTTGTTACTAACTAAAATGCGTTACCTTCCCTTCTCCTAGACTTGACTGATCTCATCCCTCTCTAAGGGACTTGGCTCTTCCCTCCCGGCTGAATATACAGTACAAAGACTGCTGCTTCAATTCCGTTGGCAGACGAAACCGTAAAAGAAAGGGTTCTTTCGCTTCTTAAAAAAAGAAAGTCCGAAACAGTTAAGAGACAGCAGCATCGAGATCTCCAGCCCTAGCCGATGATGACGCCTTTTCCTGTTTTAGGGATCGACTTAAAATCTGGGATTTCGACTCTTACGGGTGCTTGTGGCTAATGCAGGGGACAATGGAAGTTAGACCTTATACTTATAGCCATAGCCCTTCCTTCTATTTTTATTATGGATATGGATCCCCCTTCTTTTTTCCTTGAGCCAGAGTTTGGGACTTTTGCGGCATCCTAGTTCCAGTATCAATAGCGCAGATAGTTTAGTCCCTTGGCCAAGAAGGGTTGACTTCTCTGTCACTTCCGTACTTCTGTCACTTCTACTTTACTTATGAAATTGAATTGGTTAGAAAGCTTTCCCTGGTATTGGCTAGAAGAGAGGGATGAGTCCCTCCAACACTGACTTCTATTCGAGTATTCTCTTTCTCCTTAGTTTTCGGTTTTCTCGAAACTGGTACTCCTTATGATTGGCCAACCTCAACCCCCGATCTAAGATCATCTGAGAAACACTCCGACATGTTCGTATGTCAAGCTCTTTTTTCTAACCTCATTTGGGAGAGGGGCTGAACGTTGGCATGACTTTAGGTGGACAGTCACGAACGATAAGAAGATCAGGATTTCCTCTAGAAATGAATGTGACCTCAGCTCCGTAGCTGGAAATAAATCAACTCAAACAAGAACTCCCACTCACTCACTTGAGTCTAGGGCAACATTCATAATATATATTAAGGAGAGTCAAGATCGTTTCCTCCTTCCGGGTTTCCCCCTGCGGGGAAGTTAGTGTTTTCTCCTCCCGCTCCGTCCGCTTCTTCTGCCTTCCTTTCCGCAAGCCAGAATAGGGCTTCTAATTTTTGCTCGCAATAAAGCTAGCGTCCTGAATCGAGCAAGACGTAGTCTATCTATCCACCTCTCCAGACACAATATCTTGAGTACCTATGATGGTGACCAATCTGCTGGCATGTATGTTTGGACATAGAATCGATTCCTTGTGAATGGGCAGAGCCATGTGCTCTTATTTTACGACGGTAGGGACGATGCTTCCATACTGACAAAGGACACCAAATTTCCTTTAGGTGCTTCACAGCGGTAGAGGTAGAAGGAGCTGGTAGGAAAACTTTCTGATAAAGTTCTAAATGGTGAATGAAGGTAGAGTAGAACCCGAGACCTGTAGTCATTTTGCCGACTATTGAAAGAAAAAGCTTGCATCTGCTCTCCCTATTTCATAGAATAATAGGTCCGATCTCTCTCCAAACCTAACGTTATAGTTTCCCATCAATAGGGCTTTCTATCTATAGATTGAGCCATTACCAAGGAAGCTAATTCGTTCAAACTCGGTTGACTGCTTCTATAGATAAGGTGGAGCGTCCTTGGCTCAGCATTTTAGCACATAGGGCTTCGGCCGGCGCTACTACAGCGCTTCGCTAACTCGAAGCGCCTCGCTAATCTACTCGCTAACGCTCGGCTAAGTCTTGAACTTCGCAGCGTTCGCTTTCTCAGTAGCAAAAGCGCTTATCTTGCCCCTTAATTAGAAGGACAAGAATGATCTTTTATTGTTTATTGCTCCCGCTCCTCGCATTCTGCCTCGTCAAGTGCCACCCTTTGCTTTTTGGGAGGTGAAACTGCGGTTGAATCGGACATTTCGAAATGACGCATCGAAGATTTATATATTTAGTAAACGGTAAGGTTATCCGCGGACTGCGTTCCGGAAAAGTTGGCCTACTTGAAATGAAAGAAGGGCGGAGCACTCTTGTGTTTCAAACCCCACTATCACTATAACTATTCATGTTGTAGGGCACTGTGTACTTACAGCCTCTCACGATACGCAAGTTAATGGTGCCGGGCGTGGCGACGGAACGGTCATCAAGCATTTCTCCTCACCCCCTCAAGGAAAGGGGTACTTTACAAATAGGGGGTAATTGCTTCGCACCTGACTGTGATAGCCCTCTTGATACCTTCTTTGAGCTTTGTGACTATTGGCCGCTTTCCCGTCGCTAGAGCGTTTTCCCAGTGCGCGGAGCCCCAACGAGGAAGGTGTTAGTGGTTTATCATTGGGTCAATAATGCTAATCCCCCTTTTTGTGCTACTCCTACTCCTATGGCGAGAAGAAGTAACAAAAACGCGAAGCCGTTCTATTGGTTTCGCCAACTTGTTTGCTTCTAAAGGCTGTCCTCTCTCGGCTGGTGTTTGGTCCAGCCTACTACTACCGATGATCCCGTATCCAGCAACCCAATTCTAAAAAAAGGGAAAAAAAAGGCCTTGTCTAGGTTGGAGCTATGAAGCCTTACCCTATATTAATGAAAAGGCCTTCTTCACGGGCTTACTTAGTGCTTGTGCTAAGGTTTGAGGCTCGACCCAAACAACGCAACGACCCCTGAGAAGCCTTGGGAACGTCAGCGCTTAGCTCTTTGAAGTGAAGGCGCGCATCCTCTTGCTGGGAGAGGGGCTAATGCCACTCGCCCTAATGAATAAATAAACAGGAGATGGGTGAAGCTTGCTTACCTTGTTAGAGTCAAGGGAGGGCTTTTTCAGCTGTGCGCTAACGCGCACTCCGTTTTCCCTTTACTAGTAGGGGGTCCCGTGGTTCCTATGCCGCCGCGTTTCCCGGTCCTTTTCTTTTAGTGCTTCGACCCGAAGCGATAGCTTCTAGCTAGTTTCAGTTGATGAGGGCTGGCTCCAGCCTCACTCAGACGGGGACGGCAGTGGTCCGCCGGCCAAGCTCGTTCTTATCTTGACGCGTACAATTGGAATCCTGACGCACCACCACGAACGCTACCCGCGCGTTCGCGCTGCGGGTGCGGTAGGTCACCACCCTGGTTGTGCCCAGCAGCCAACTACTCCGGCGTGTCAAGCGTAGTTAATCTATCAAGCCACTTACTTGATGTCCTAGCTTGCCAACACTGGTAGACCGTTCCTTTCCCCCCCGATCAATGAAGAAGGGGAGAAGTCAGGTGGGATTCTTCCGAAGAACCGAAGCGAAAAAGCGCTATGCCGGGGGGGGGGGAACGGGAAAGAAACGGCTCGAAGAAAGAAATGGAGGTCCCCAATGCTTCTCCAACCCCAACGGAATGCGCCAACCTCGGGATGCTTTACTCTCCTAACCCCACCAGGTTCCGAGACGGAGCTTAACCTGAGTCTGGTTAAGACGCGATGATCTAACGTTTTCTCACACGGCGCCGATTCCATGGATAGTTTCATTCGACATCGTGATGGAGGACTACCTTACGATCCTCGGCTTGGATCATGCCACTAGGGATTTTATTAGGACATTGCCAAATTATCCGCATACTTTGTCGCATCTCTTCAATACGGATACAGTAACGATCATAGCGATCTCCTCTGGTACCTACTGGTACGTCAGGATCCGATTGGTCATGAACATGTAATGTGCTGCCTCTCGCGAATCCCTCCCAGCATAAACCCCCTGGTTTGGGAGGGGTAGGCCCACCACTTCACTTTCAACTTAGGCCTGGGCCAAGTAGTGGGGGGACACTGTCCGGGCTCCTCCCCCCCCCCAAAAAAAACACAAACTGTACGTGATAGTTTCCCTTCATACGGGCTCGAATCATTCTCATATGCCCTGGGAGGCATCCTTTCCTTGTTTGTTGGGTTGGTTCAACGCGCAGCGCAACGAGCACTGGCCGCAACACGCAGCAGGGAACTATGACCAATAGAGTCAGACACTTAGTTACTACATCCCACGCAAAATGTGGTTCTGGTTGAGGCTTTCTTTCCCTTTATTAGTAAGGGGGGCGCGGGACTTTCGCTGAGTCCGTGCCTCCGTACCACCACGACTGTCGTTCTTGGGCGGATCCCGCCCTAAACATAAGGGTAGGGGGAAGGTGGGCCGGGCCTAACCCCCCCCCCCCCTCTAAATCCAAAGAAAAGGGGTGTAAAAAGAGAACCCTGCACCTATTTTCATTCGACGTTTCCGCCCGCCCGATTCGACCGACTTTTGATACAAGAAGGCGCGAAGCTGATCTGCTTTTGATCAAGGAAAAAGCCCAGTCATCCTACCAACTCGGTGCAGGTCACGTGACCTACAGCTCGGCCTTCGCTTTGTTGAGACTTCCTCTACCCACATCGCTATGTGCCCCGCAGCACTTCCATATGGAGAAAGATGGCTTCTTCCCATGTTCCATCAATAGCACCTAACCTTGGCCGATTTTGGCGGACTGTCTCCACCCCGGTGAACTCATGCGGCTCCTGACGTGCCCAGAGGCAGAGGCGAATCCATTCACGGTCCGTAGGACCAACGCATTCGAAGGTGGGTGGCCCGCCCCGCCCTAGAACCGTCATGTTTGACTGGCTTACACACATTCGCTCACACTTACGCTGTCCCCCCCTCGCTCACCTAGCCACCCGGGCCTTTTGCTCTTCTAACGTAAGCTCCAAGGCTTACACCAGTCTTAGCTGACATCATATGCATGCTTAAGTAGGGTCAGGCCAGAACCGTTGTTGCCCGATGGGACCTTCCCCCCATATTGCTATCAATGTCTTCATGGTCGCACGACCTCTTACCATGTACAAACCACTGATCCCATCCTGTTCTTGCTGTGGGCATTGACAGACCAATATCCCTAATCGTTGTTTCGAGATACGGTTGCCGGTTTGCATCTCTTCTAATGCGGTCGATACGAGAAGCAATTGTTGTGTGAAGGAATCAATATCCTCGACATAAGCCAGAGGCAATCTTTGTGCCACTCCACCTGGTCGGAATGAAACGCATGCATCCTGGCTCCCGAGACTCTTTCATAGA